CCACCTGCTCTGCCCCGGGCATCCAGATTCAGCCGCTGTTGAAACTGATCAGCGGCTGATTCCAGGAACCCCGGGGCAGAGCAGCTCTGCCTTGGGCTTCCTGTAGTCAGCCGCTGGTCAGTTTCAACAGCGGCTGAATCTGGATGCCAGTTCCGACTTATATACAAATTCAACTTAAGAATAAACCTACAGTCCCTATCTTGTACGTAACCCGGGGACTGCCTGTATAGGATAAAAGCACACAAGTCCAAATGTCACTACCTGTGATGCATTTTTCATGGCTGTGAATTTGGTAGGGTCCTACTCACACAGCTGTCTTCGGCATGGCTGAAGTAAGGCATTGGTGGCTGCCGTTCTGCTTGAGCCAGCCAAGTAGGATGTAGGATTGGGCCCCTCTTTGTTTTTTCCATGTGGTGTAGGTTTATAGCAGCATTTTGGCAGGTGACAGGGGAAGCTGTAGCCTGTCTTAAAAACACTATGTAATAGGATGCCTGTAATACAGACAGCATGTATGTAATACTCAAAATGTAATCATTTCCTAATTGCATTAATGGTTAACTTTAACTGCTTCATAAGGTTTCTGAACTTTATCTACAAAGCTTGCTAGTGTTCATCAAGGACCAGACCAAAGAGTTGGCTGTTTAAAATAAGCCACCTTTAAAGTAACTGCAGTCACAAGTAGGTAGTTTTCATTAACCGGCCAGGCACTATGTTAAACTTTGTATATATGGTGAAACACAAGACAGATAACCCACTTTTAAGAAATTAGATACTTAAACATGAATTTCAATGTGTTTCCTCTGGCTTAATTTTCATTTGAACAAAAAAGTTCCATTTACACCAAATCAAAAGCAGTAGTCGTAGTCAAAATATATAGTACTGAGAAATGTGTTAGGTAAAATATTACATTTACTATTGGCTATACCAAATAAATAAGTCTCATGAATTTTCATAGAAATAGTCATGCAGATTTTAAATGTATGCAGTAAGTCTAGAAATAATATGTATGGATAAGGAATGTAATAAATGTCAGCCTCATTCAGATGCCATACAAAAACTACCAAATGAAAATTGTTAAACTGCAAACTAAAGTATTCAAAAAGTTAACAGCTGCCTGTGTAACCTTAATTTTGCCCCTTTGTGCCTATGCTTTATTATGCAGTTTTTAATTACATCATTGCATGCTATCGTTTTTCACATTTCAAGTGTTGTTGCTTACAAAACCTTCTCATTCACCTCCCGGTATGTTAGAGGCCTATGAAAAAATACCGTGTGATTATGTAATTACTGTCATAAAGAAGAAATGGAGTGGGGGCTGAATTAAAGTTGCACAATAAATCTGGCATTTCTTAAGTTAGGAATGCTTCAAACTGTAACAAGGTTTTTAAGGTAGGTTATATGGCATTTTTTTTAAAAGCTCTGACATACATATTTTGCTGTGCCACACCAGAATGTTGGGAATTGGGGTTCCTGTGTTCTGTTCCCTAATCTGGGAGTGGAGAAATCCCTTCAATTTGATCAGAGGACGGAAAGAGAACTTGTAGCTGGTGGTGGTTTCTCAGTTTGCTTTTTGTTTACAGAATGCTAACAGTTGTGCATGCCTATACCCTTCAGGCCCTGCCAAAGGGTTAGTGGGGCCCTGGGCCCATCAGCCAGCCAGCCAGGCAGCAGCAGCAAGAAGAGGGGTGGGGTTTCATGATAGGCAAGGAGACAGACAGCAGCAAGCTAGCCAAGGGCTAAGCGGGGGGCAGGATCTCAGCCTATCCTTGCAGACGGAAGGAGTGTCAGATGGGCCGTTGTGATACGCCAAACGAAGGATGGAGCAGGAGGTGGGGCTATGCACATGAGCACTGCTGGCCTGCCAGCTGAGCTGTCCCCTCCAGGCAGCACTGCCCCCTAGGGGCTGGGGTCAGGGGTGGCCGTTGCATGCTTCTAGCGCCTGTTGGCCGGGCGTCATTCCCGGGTGGCCGTGGCACTGCAGAGAGGGGTGGAGTGGCGCTGCTGGGCAGTTTTGTACCATGAAGAGCCAAGGGGGGACCTGGTGCTCGGGAGCCGAGCCCAGGTATCGCTTCTTGGCCTCTTGAAGGCTAGGATCAAGTGTAGTGTCTGTTCTTATCCGTTTAATTGCTGTTAGGATGTGAAATGGATGATAACGATGTGAAATGGATTTTTTGCGGCAGGGGCTGGAAGAGGAGCTTGCTCCATCCGCTCCGCACATTGGCCCAGTATTGTAGCATCTCTGGGAGTGGTGCACCTCCCCTCGGAGACTACAGTGCGGTTTGAAAAAAGAGTCAAGAGATTGGGGGTGAAAACTCTACCTCCTATGAGCGTGTTTGTTTCTCTGTTGTAAGTTCCAGCCCCAATACCTGTGCCCTGCCTTCCCTAAGAGCTTGACTGGCTGTCAAGCAGCGAGGTGAGCGCTCCGGCGCCGGCTGCTGTTGTTGCCCTGGGGAAACACCGGGAGAGTCAGAGAAGGAGGCGGGGGCACGTGGGGAAACAGGTGGGTGTGCCTTAAAAAAACAATTCGTCAAGTGGGGTAGGTGGGGGTGGGCGAGATGCTGCATTCAGGGGGGCGGGCATGGGATTCCGTTGCTTCATTCTTGGGCAGCCCACTTCTCTGTTGCTTGCCTCTGGCCTTTGTGTCCTCCACAACAGTGGGCAGTGCCTGGTCTGGCTCTTTTTCCTTTGCAAGCCTTTAGCATTCATTGCCTGTGTCCCACCAGTGGAGCTGCGTTCCAGATCAGAGGTGTTAGGAGGCCATGGCTGCTCCTCCTTTCCCTGGCAGAAAAAAGTGGGCAAGCAAAGGGGCAGGGTCTTGAGGCAGGGGGGAGGGGAGGCAGGCAGTGGCAAGCTGAGGGCAGGGTTTGATGTCACACAAAAGGAGGCGAAGAAGCAGGGGAGACAGATACCAGCCAGCTAGCCAGGGCCAAGCAGGAGGGTGAGGTCTTTTCCTGTCCTGGAAGGCGGAAGGAGCATCAGGCGGGTTGTTGTGATGTGCTGAACAGGGGGTGGATTAGGAGGCGGGGCTGTGCATTTGAGCACTGGCTTGCCAGCTGAGCTAGGCCACTGGGGTGAGCAGGTGGGCGCTGGGCAGTGCGGGGTCCTGAAGGTGCGGGGCTCAAGGTGCTCGCCTTGCCCTAAGGCAGGGCTTACCATCCTTGAAACATGCAACTCTATGTAAGACGACATGACAGAAAGCACATAGATTTGTTGCTAACTAGATAAGTCTTTGGTTAGCTATATTAGAGATGTATACTCTATTGTTACTTCTGAATCTTTGCGGTCTCAGATCCTCCATTGCCCTTTGTTGGGCAAAAAATTTGCCTCCCTCCAAATGTTAAGGATATGAAAGCTTGCTTAATATAGGTTACGAAGCAAAAATAAAGACCATTAAGGAAAGACAAGGCTAGAACTCAGTCTTCTGTCTTCCAGCCCAGTGCCTTTTACCCAGTTTAAAAATTATCTTAAGAATAAGGAAGAGAGAGGAAGCAGCCTGTGTTTCAGTTGAAAGGCTTACTCTGTTCTTATCATAGACATGTAATGCAGGAGATTCACTGGGAGCATACGCAGTGCCGAAGAGAAAATAAGGGACAAACTGGGATGAAACTCTATATGCAAACTCTCTGCATATTATAAGATTGCCAAATATGTCTGTTTGGAGAGGTATCGTTCACTAACAGTCTCAGACTTCCTCTCTGCCATGTAACAAATTCCTAATCTGAATCTTTGAGGTTTGAGAGCTGTCTTTAAATATGCCAGAATTTAACATAGACAGAAATACTAGTTTCATGAGCTGATTTATTGAAAATGGATGAATCAGTTTTGCTTACTTACAAAACCCTCCCTTGTATGGCAGACAAAGCATGGAGTTTGTCTAAGCTAAATAACAGTAAACAACGTTATAATAGGTGTTAGACAACTTTAACTATAGTCTTTGCTCCTGCTGACCACCAGTTGGGACCCCCCTGGATATTAATAGCTTAGTTGAGTAAAGACACTGTTGAAACCTGTGGGTGTGTACCCAGCTTTATAACATCCACAGCTCTCTCTCTGGCCCAAGCAGTACTTCCCCACTCTACACTGCTATTTTTAGTAGTGTGGTCTCCCACCAGTGAAGCCTTTCCCTGTCACAGGAAAAGACTCCTGGGCTACGTCTACACTCGCAGCTTCTTCCGCAAGAAATATGCAAATGAGGCTAAGCGTGGAATATTGCCGAGCCTCATTAGCATACCTAGTAAGCCGCCATTGCGCCAGAAGGAGCTGTCTACACTGCCCCTTCTTGCGCATGAAAAAGCCTCTTGCGCAATGCCATTATTCCTGAAAATAATCAGTGTAGCAGCATTGCGCAAGAGGGTTTTTCTTGCGCAAGAAGGGGGAATGTAGACCGCTCCTTCTGGCGCAAGAGCCTCTTCTGCAAAAATGGTGGCTCATTAAGAATGCAAATGAGGCTTAGCCTCATTTGCATATTTCTCACGCAAGAAGGTGCAAGTGTAGACATAGCCCTACAGCAAGGGGCAGTGCAGAAAGGCTCCATCAGCACACCACTTCTGGTGCTTTCTCACTGCTGTGGGGGAAGGTTTTGGTAGTGAGATGCAGCAGTCCTGGGGAAAGATTCCAGCAGTTCCCTGCTGCTTCCCCTCCTCCCAGAGCCTTTCACTGACATGTGGCTACATAACAATGTGAACACCACTTGCTTTTTCTTACAGCTTGTAGCTATATATGCCCTGTGTCGGGGTGGGCAATAAATTGGCGTTGTGTTGCCAGGGTTAGTCCCTTATCGACCAGCGCTGCTGTATTTTCTCGCTCTTCCACAGGTATGGGCTATTGCAGCTCCTGTTGGCTGTAGATCACTGTTCTGACCAACGGTAGTGGTGGGAAGCAGTGTGGACTGCGACATCACTTCCCATAGCCCCTATTTGCAGCTCCCATTGGCTGCAGATTGCTGTTCCCAGCAGTCACCTGTATCTGTGGAGATGCAGGTAAACATAGTGCTGCTGGCCCGCCAGGGGCTAACCATGGGGAACTGGATCCAGACCTCAGACCAGTATTTGTCTACTCCTGACCTATGTGCTGCCACTCTGGTGTGGAGCATAGATGTAGACTAAGAATACTACACTTGATTAACTCAACAGGTCAGCGGTACCATAAAAGGATCTTACAACTCACTAAAATGAATTTCTCTGTTTTCACTTTTTCCTCCATAAGCCTCCAATAAACTAAAATGTTTACAGTATGTCATGAAAGTAATGCATCCTAGCCAGTGTTGGGTCAAAGTGGAGGTAGGTGAAATGAATTTGAGAGTCAAGTACTTCTCCCTGAAAGCCCTACCATTAGTCCTTCTCTAGTGGCAGTAGGGGAGCAAGAAACTAGGCTAACTGTGAGAGTTATAGTGTCATAAAGGAAGTGTATCCGATTAGTATTTCTCATTCTAGGTCTCATGTATGTTTCCTGGACACAGCTCTGCTGTGTGAGGAAAACAAATCCTATAATTTTTGTGGGGAGGGAGAGTGGATGGAGAACTTGTTTTCAAATCTTCCCTTTCTTTCTATGGACTATGTTTTTGTGTGTTCTGCTTCGAATATGTTTACTTTCATTGCAACAGCATTTATGAATCAATTTCTGCAGTCCTCTATTAAGTTTTGTCACTTTTTCATTAGTTGTAGCTGAATTTTCCTTTATGGCTATTTTTTATTACTTTTTGCATGCAAAGTAAAGGCCAGACTGTCAGCTAAGAGCTGTGAAAAATACACAGATTCTTACATTGTTGCTGCATTGCCCCAAGATGCAGTATAGTAATTTAATACATAGTCCTTTTCTTTTGATCTTTATTACAGTCTGTGAATTGATTTACTCATTGCCCTGGAATATGTCTGGCAAATCCCTGGGAGTTACTGGCTTTTATAGATAGCTGGCACTAGAAGATTTGTGACTTCTACAAATTTTTCTATAATAAAATAGTTATAGTATTAATCATTAAGTGAAACAACGATAGAGCTCGGAAAAGCCATTATCAAGTTGGGAAACTTTAATATCTATGTTTACTCAGATTAGATGCAATAAATACCTAACAATGATAAATGGATTATTATATTAGTGGCATTAATGCATTTATCTATTTTTTTATTTTTGTTAGTATGTTTCATTATATGGGAAACATTGCCAAATTCACCAAATAAGTGTACTATCTTTATTTTAAATCTTGCTGTATAATGTGTTTTTAGGCTCACTGGTGGGCAGTACTTCTTATGGGAATTGCTCTGATCATGTTAATGGCTGGATTCATTAAAATATGCAGTGTTCATACTCCAAGCAGTAATCCAAAGTTGCCTCCTCCTAAACCACTCCCAGGTAAGTACTTAAGTGATTTACCACAGAAAAGTAAGAAGGTAGAGCCTTTTTTCTCAACTATATTGCCTTGCCTTTTTAGTGTTGGGACTGTAGCGCCAGTTCTGTAGTTCATAGTCTGGCACTGTGTGCTTTTTTTCATGCCAACATAACATTAAAGAACTATTTCTGACATTTGGTCTACTAGACATAGAGAAAATTACATCTCACTTCCTCTTAGTCAAAATACGGATTATAAACACATGGGCTGTGTCTACATTGGCACCCCTTTCCGGAAAAGGGATGCTAATGAGACCAGTCGGAATTGCAAATGCCGCGGGGGATTTAAATATCCCCCATGGCATTTGCATGAACATGGCTGCCGTTTTTTTCCAGCTCGGGGTTTTGCCGGAGAAAAGCGCCAGTCTAGACGGGATCTTGTGGAAAATAAGCCCTTTTCTGGAAGATCCCTTATTCCTACTTGAACCGTTTTCTTTGGGCTTATTTGAAAGGTTTTCTTTGGTCTTATTTATTCCTTGAAAGTAGGAATAAGGGATCTTCCGGAAAAGGGCTTATTTTCCGCAAGATCCCGTCTTATTTTCCGCAAGATCCCGTCTAGACTGGCGCTTTTCTCCGGCAAAACCCCGAGCTGGAAAAAAACGGCAGCCATGTTCATGCAAATGCCATGGGGGATATTTAAATCCCCCGCGGCATTTGCAATTCCGACTGGTCTCATTAGCATCCCTTTTCCGGAAAGGGGTGCCAATGTAGACACAGCCATGGAGCATGTAGAAAGTATAACTTTTGTTGCAATTACTAACTCAGATATCCTTTTAATCTGTCTCCCTATACCACCTTTGTCAGAAAAATCGTATGTAGCAGTTTATTTTCAATTTACTACATGTTCATACCATTTAGCTTGTTGTCAGACTTTT